CATTGTTTGAATCTAAGAAAGGTGCAGACTTCTTTGATGTGTAACTAGAAGTACCCCCCAACAAGTGTTTCGTGCTATGCAAGTCTGTTCCTTTCTTCTTGTTTCTTGGCTCTTGCTCTGGTTTCCTAGCAAGGTGACCACCACCTTGGTGGTGATATATTCTGTCCACCAGGGGGCAGTGGCAAAGGCACACAACTGGTGTCAAATGTCTTTTATTTAGCCCATGTGCCAGATTTTACAGAATACAAGCTGCTGTTTCTTGGTTGTTTTTTGATGCCTTTAGCCCCTGCGACTAAAGAGAAGCTACTAAATCAGTGTAGCCCTGCTTGTATTGTTTTCCTGCTTGCAGATAACCTGAAATAGCTCTAAGATGTGCTTTGGCTTTATTCATCTCAAGGAGGTGTTCTGCCTTTATAACTCAGTGCGATACTGGACATAGCAGATCTTCATATAACTCCCCTGTGTTGGTTGTGCAGCTAGTTACCGTAACGTATGTACACAGATGGAATAACTGCATGTGAAAATGGCCGTATAAACCATTGCTGGCATCACTTTCTTATATTTTACTTATAGACTGTAACAACACTCTTGGTCTTTGTACAAACCTCTGTTAGCCCTGGGAGCACCCCATAGCATGCAGCACTTAGGTCCTTAATGTTTGCTAAACCTTGCAGGTCACGATTACAAATGTAGCTTGGCCATCCACAAAATGAAAGAAATACTGTTAATCAGGAGGGAGCAGACTGTCACAAGCATGGCTGAGCTGTTCTAACAGAGAGGATGCACAGATTGCTGGCAGTTCCCTCTACGGGCTGTGAAGTGTGTCCTCAAATCCAGTCTGAAATAGTGACAGAGAAGAGTTGAGTAACCACTCGAATACACTCAAGAAATTAGGGCTTGTCTACATGGGGAAATAGCCTGGAAAAGCTTTTGCCCTTTAAATTCACACCCCAGCTTGTTTTTCAGTGGCTTCCCTGTGTGGACAAGCCCTAGGTTACATTATTTTCCCTTTCAAATGTTGAATAGTTTCAAAAGCAGAGAACTACTAATTCCCTCTACTCAGATTTTTCTTGGGAATAGGTGCGAATATATACACCAGGCTTAAACCACGTATATTTTTAAACCAAAAATGTTTGTGTATGTGCTTAAGACCTTGCTTTTCAATGCGGTATAAAATGGTGATTATACAACTTATTTCTCTCGAGTCCTTTCCGGTGCACAAGAACCAAATCCTGCCCTGTGGAAGGAAAAGGGGTTCTGGCTTTAGAGCATGCGCCAAAGAAGTGGCTGTGCCTCCCGTAACCCCCAGCCGATGTCCAGCCTACCCCCGTCTGCTATAAGAAAAGGAGGACTTGGGCACCTTAGAGACTAACCAGTTTATTTGAGCATAAGCTTTCCAGCTCACAAAAGCTTATGCTCAGATAAATTGGTTAGTCTCTAAGGTGCCACAAGTCCTCCTTTTCTTTCTGTGAATACAGACTAACACGGCTGCTACTCTGAAACCTGTCTGCTATGTGCGAGAATAAGAGGTGCAGATGGTTTTGGTGTGTCTAAACTCTGGTACTACACCATGTTCTGCCATGTTTCCCTTAGCTGCAGCTGTCTGAGACTTGGCAGGCAATGGAGGATCAAGTTTACCATTGAGGTAACTGGATGCCTCTCCTGTGAAGTTAGTGGGACAGGTGCCTGCCTACACCAGACCTGAATTTGGCCTGGAGGTTTGCTATACAGTTTACACAAGCATTCTTCACTACATTGCATGAATCCCCTGCCCTCCACCAAAGAAACGCCAGAGGTGGTCTTACGGTAATAAAAGGCATCCTGGAAAAATGTCATCGCAAGTACCTCGTCTTTTCTATACGAGTGCAAGTGGGTCAGAACGTTCATGGGATATTCCCTGTTGCACAGATGGGGAAACCGAGGCAGAGATTTGTTTAAGATCACAGTAATTCAGTAGTGAAGTAGGAAATAGAATCCAGGTCTCTTGCTGACTGGGATTATGCATAATTCATGTGGCCACAATACTCCCACAGGTTTCAGAGGAACAGCCGTGTTAGTCTGTATTCGCAAAAAGAAAAGGAGTACTTGTGGCACCTTAGAGACTAACCAATTTATTTGAGCATGAGCTTTCGTGAGCTACAGCTCACTTCATCAGATGTTTACCGTGGAAACTGCAGCAGACTTTATATACACACAGCAATTCACTTCATTCCTCTGCTTATTTCCCTGTCTGAAACATGCTGGAGAGGGCTCCACACACATACAGCCCATTTGATTGTCAACCATAGAGACAGAGTGGGGGGACTGCTGGGAAGAAGTGGCTCTGGAAACTATTTGACAGTTTTCAGAGTAACAGACGCGTTAGTCTGTATTTGCAAAAAGAAAAGGAGTACTTGTGGCACCTTAGAGATACATCCGATGAAGTGAGCTGTAGCTCACGAAAGCTTATGCTCAAATAAATTTGTTAGTCTCTAAGGTGCCACAAGTCCTCCTTTTCTATTTGACAGTTGTGGATAGTCAGCTGATCATGAACGCCCAGTGTGATGCTGTGGCCAAAAGAGCTAATGTGATCCTGAAATGTGTAAATGGGAATCTTGAATAGGAGCAGAGGTTCGTTATTTTCTCTATTTGGCACTGGTGCAGTCGCTGGGGGAATCCTGTGTGCAGTTCAGGGGCCCACAATTCAAGAATGATGCTGATAGATTGGAGGGGGTTCAGAGAAGAGACATGGGCATGCTTAGAGGGTTAGAAGACCTGCCTTCTAGCGATAGACCCAAAGAGTTCAATCTATTCAGCCTAACAGAGAAGGTTAAGCAGTGACTTGATTACAGCCTTTCTCCATGGGGAACAAATATTAATGGGCTTTTCAATCTAGCAGAGAAAGGTCTATCATGGTCCAATGGCTGGAAGCTGAAGCTAGACAAATTCAGACTGGAAATCAGGTGTACATATTTGACGGTGACAGTAATAAACCATTGGAACAATTTAGCAAGAGTTGTGGTAGATTCCCCATCACTAATGGCTGTTTCTCTAAAAGGTCTGGTAGAGGAATTATTTTGGGGGCAGTTCTCTGTCCTGTTATACAGGAAGTCATACTAGATCAGGGGTTCTCAAACTTCACTGCATTGTGACCCCCTTCTGACAATACCCCAGGAGCAGGGACCGAAGCCTGAGCCAAAGCCAAAACCCAAGCCCTGTCACCCAGGGCTGAAGTCTTTGGGCTTTGGTCCCAGGCAGTGAGGCTTGAGCTTTGGCTTCAGCCCTGGGTCCCAACAAGTCTAATGCCAGACCTTTTGACCCCATTACAATGGGGTTGCAACCTACTTTGGGGTCCTGACCCACAGTTCGAGAACTGCTGTGCTTGAGGATCACAATGGTCCCTTCTGGCCTTGCAATCTCTGAATTAATGTGAAGTCGGCACTTGATTAACTGGTCTCTTCTTTTACTGAGATGGGAGGGTGTACAGGAGAGACAGTCCATCTCAGATCCAACATGTGGGCTGGTTTTATAGCCATTATATGAAAAACATACTCTCATATCTCAATGTCTGTACTTTGACCCGTTAGCCTTTTACCCCCAATCGGGGATATTGCAGTTTATGTATTCCTTACGCCACCTGATCCTAAACCAAACTTCGCACCCCTTGATAATCTGTACGTTATTCCCTGATAACCAGAAACTTCTACGCTTAAACTCTGTACCGTTTTTTTTGTTTTAACATCTCATCTTAATAAAATTATTAAACATGTCCCCAAACTTGCTGGGGCTTGGAAATTTGGAATGAGACCAGGCTGGTGTTGCTACTGCAGCAGCAGCCTGTAGGGGGCACACTACCTATGCAGTTTCCAAAAGTCACACAATGTGTGTACCCTGTTGCAAACTGTAGGGGATGCTAGTTTATTAATAATGAAGCCTTGAAGTAGCCCTGTACATTTACACAAAGCCTGGGAAAAGAGACAGCGGCCCTGAAATGCTCTAAACTACGACAAACCAAATGGAAATATTTTACCTTGTTACCTTTAAATGTTCATAGCTTGTAAACGAATGAACCAGTTTTCTTCAAACTTGGCTTGTTTTTGTAGATTTCATTGAGACGTTACAAAATCCCATTTGAAGAGTATGCCATATCACCTGTGTAGTGATATGTGGTTGTGGGGGTGGGTATTCCATACTCTATTAATTGCATTTGTGATGCTATAAAAATAGCTCATTTTAAGCTGGGGGGGGGGGGCTGGGTTCATCCTGAACTTTGCATTTCCAAACTTTGAAGGCTTGATTTCTCATCCGTGATCACTGTGTTATTTTCATGGAACTTGTTCTGATCACTACGTCATCCCCTTACAAAAACATCAAATTGCTTAAACCAGTTTAAAAAGTTTTTTTAAAAATACAATGTAAGACGATCTGTGGGCTGTAATATTTGGGTCGTTAGGTTAGTGTGTGGGTACTCATGCTAGATAGTCGTCCCTTCTGGCCGTAACCTCTCTGACCTAACAACTGCCTAGGCAGGTGTGAGGGAGCCACAATACGGGTCTGTCTCAGTCAAAAGACGGCTCCAGCTGAAAGACTGAATAATTCAGACGAGAATCCCTCTTGCGTGTCTTATTTTAGCCCCACCACTCCCCATGTTCCACACATGTTCGATGTCCCTGCATTTGTGTTGTTGAAAACGACTGACGTCAGCAATAAAGAATCACACGGCTGAGGCTAGGGAGAGGTTTATTTACCCTCACAGGAGGCGTCTCACAGCATTTTAAGTTTCCTGTATGAATATTTCTCCTGTGTCCCTCAGTTTGGTTCTTTGTCACCCACTGAATCCAACAGTTGGGCCATGGCAACCGGAGGGGTGTGATGGGGAAATGGCGACGGGGCTTTGTGTAGAGCACGATCTTCGTTGAACCCTTTGCAGCATTTGAGTTGATCACTACAGTCTGGCTTCCGGCCCTATGGGCCTGCTCCAATGCCCACTGAACCAGGGGGAGTCTTTCCCTTTATTTCAGTGGGTTTTGGATCAGGCCCTTAGCTGGTGGTGCTGTCACGAGCTGCCAGGCCTAGAGGGCAGACACCGGGGACACAGCTCGCACCGAGAGTGGAGTGACAAGGCACACTGAGCTCGCTGCCTCTAGGCAGCTGACTGGTCGATGTCGATGCTCTCGTTGGAGGGCTGCCTCACTTGGATCTGGGGGTTCTCCCTCTGCGGCCCCCGTGAGGCTTCCAGCTGGCTGGGTACCTTGAGGCGGGTGCCGGGTGTGGGGGGCTCGCTGGCCTCATCTTCTGTCTCTTCCTCATCAATGCGGCCCACCGATTCGGGGTCCTCGCTGTGGCGGGGGTTGGGGGAGGGGAAGCTGCCCTCGCCCCTCAGGCGCAAAAGGTGGTGGTGGGCCCGGTTGCTCCTCCCGAAATTCTTCAGGCTGACAGCAGGGGAGGCGGCCGCGGTCAGGAAGCGGTTGAGCAAGGGCGTGTGCATGCGGGGCAGGCTGGGTGAGGGCTCCACTGGCTGGCTCTGCTCCGGGTCGTCGCTCATCCTGGGGAAGGAGTGTGGGATTAGGGCACAGGCTCTGAGTCAGAGCTGCTAGAAGGCAGGGGAAAGGTTCCTGATCAGCATCAGAGTGCGCTCTGGGGACAAGCTGCTGGCTAAAGCACGCAACGTGCAAGGGACAGGCTCCTGGGACAACAAGGTCCCACCCAGCACAGACCTTCAGCCAAGCTGCCCTGGACGCTCCTGGGAACTTTGCCTCAGCAAGGGGGCTGAAAGGACACGTCCCTGACTAAAACGTGGCCAGTGCATCAGCATTCCTGGCTTTAATATTTGAGCTTGGGTTTGGCACCTGGAGCGAGGGCTGCTGTGGGTCCCTCACCTCCCAAGCCAAAGTTCCCGAACACAATTTAATGGGGTTAGTGTAAGAAAAATTGTTACTCAAAATAGCCCCATCTCCTTCACAGAGCTGCTTCTGTACAACCTGGAGCCAGAGCTGCTGCCTAAGAGATGGTTTTTACTCCTGTTAGCTCAACGCCGAGGGAGCTGGAGTCTCTTCTGGCTTGTGCATCATCAAGAGTGAGACACGCTCCAAGTGCAGAGCCATATGATTCTGCACCAAATTTGCTTGGTAAAGTAAGAGATGTTTTTCCCTGACTGCCAGCCCTGCAATCTCACTGCAGACTGGGTTCTTCCCAGGTCATGCATCTTAGTAAGTAATTCAGATTATTCAGGCCAGAGTCTTCCCTCACTTACCCTAGTGCACCCAGTTGTCTTCATGTTCTGCCCTCAATTACCCCTGAAGACAACGGGGTTCACTTCGGTGTAACTAAGGGCTAGAACACCCCACCCCACAGCTTGCCTCTTAGATTCCAGGACCAGTTTGTGACACAGGCAGTTATTAGAAAAATCACCTTCCTACTTGTAAACTGAGTAAATCTGATCTGGCGTGACTGAGAGGCAAGAAAGGGGAGCCCGTGCAGCCCTTTTTAGAGTGGGGTTTCAGGTCCAAACCGCCCTTTGGAGCAATCCCAGAGGCTCTTGGCCATAGCTGCTTCAGGAAAGCTGCTGTTCTCATTCCAAATGAGCCCGCTGACCTTACCGCATATCGAAGGTGGAGCCCAGGAAGGAGGGCTTCAAGGTCTCTGCGGCCGTGGCGATGGTGTAAGGCGGCTGAGCTGTGGATTCATTCCAGTATTTGTCCTTCCCTGTTGGAGGCAGGTTCTGGTACATGTCATCCACGGAGAGCAGTGACACCTAAGGGCGGCAAAGGGCAGGCTCAGCTTCAAAAGGAGGAACACAGCATGCCACAGGCTGGTTGGGTCTTTAAGGGGAGTGGGGCTCAGTCCTGCCTGTGGGGGATCCGCTGATCTGATGCTCTGGCATCAGGTGTTTCAATTCAGTTATCAGAGCCAACTGAGGACGCATGGGCTGATTTCCAGAAAGGGCTGGGGGAGCTCAGCAGGGAAGAAGAGCTATCGGAGGGGGATGGTCCTCTGTGACTGGCCCTGAGGGAAGAGGGTAGCTGTGGCTGGTCTGGGAGTGGGCCAAACCCTAGGCAGGTGGCCCGGAGAGGGATAGGAAAGAAGGATCTGGCCTGGGGGAAAGACTCCAGGGAGGGAGCCCTGAGGATCAGCAGCTCAGGAAGAAGTTGGGCATCCCAGGAGGAAGCCGGGGGCGGGGAGGGTGGAGGGAGGTCAGCACTCAGAGAGCAGGCAGAAGGGGAGCTCAGGAGGGGCAGAGACCTTCCATTTTACATGTCCTTTGGGACTATTGTCTAAGTCTGTTAGCAGTGCCCACGCGGGGGTGTTTTGAGCGAAGACGGGCCACGAGGGTGACCCTGACACACGTTTCATGCATCGAAGGCAAAACTCCCCCTCACTCCAGCGAGGACGTTGCCTGAGGGAGAGTCAGACCTGGAGGCTGCATGAGAGGAGGTACGCGAAGGGCTGCATTAAGGGGGCTGTGTTGGTGAGTATCTGAGTGTTTGTTGTGAGGACAGTGTGACTGTGTGCTGTGTGCTTGATTGGTTGTTTGAAAAGGGTGGGAACTGGGTGTGCTTTGTTCCAGGTGAGCCTTTAGTGGGCCTGACTGCATAAAAAGCCAGTCAGTTGTGAACCAGCTGAGCAGCGAACAAAAGGAGTTTGCCTGGGAGTTCGCCTGGGGAGAGAGCCCTTGGCGGATTCTCAGAGTAATTACTGCAACTCCTGAGGAAGCTCGTAGAAGGAAGGTAATATGGATGGGGGGTGTTCAGTTGTTGTGACCTGCACTGGATGTGCTATGTTTGTCTTTCTTCCACAGGACAGATGCGACTTTGTCTGTACAAAGTGCAAGCTGGTCTCCATACTGGAAGAGAAGGTTCAAGGTCTGGAGCAACAGGTATCGACCCTGCGTTGCATAAGAGAAACTGAAGATTTCCTGGACGGATGTCAGGATAGGCTTCTACGGGCACAAGGTTCTGAAGATTGAGCAGGCTGCACATCGGGGACAGAAGGATGGTGAAGAAATTTGGCATCATGTGACCTCCAGAAGAAAAAAGGGGAATGTCCATGTATCAGCAGGGCAGATACAGGTAAGTAACCGTTTTCATGTTCTCGCCACAGGTAATAATGCGGAGAGTGGATCAGATGATACGTCTGAGAGAAGGGAGCAGAAGGAGACTCCGCTGATTGGAAGGCATGGGATGCACTGTCCTAGGGTTGGGGGTTCCACAACCACCACTCCCAGGAGAAGGAGGCGGGTGGTGGTGGTCAGGGACTCTCTCCTCAGGGGGACTGAGTCATCTATCTGCCGCCCCGACCGGGAAAACCGAGAAGTCTGCTGCTTGCCAGGAGCTAGGATTCACGATGTGACGTAGAGACTGCCGAGACTCATCAAGCCCTCGGATCGCTACCCCTTCCTGCTTCTCCACGTGGGCTCCAATGATACTGCCAAGAATGACCTTGAGCGGATCACTGCGGACTACGTGGCTCTGGGAAGAAGGATAAAGGAGTTTGAGGTGCAAGTGATGTTCTTGTCCATCCTCCCCGTGGAAGGAAAAGGCCTGGGTAGAGACCGTCGAATCGTGGAAGTCAACGAATGGCTACGCAGGTGGTGTCGGAGAGAAGGCTTTGGATTCTTTGACCATGGGATGGTGTTCCAAGAAGGAGGAGTGCTAGGCAGAGACGGGCTCCACCTAACGAAGAGAGGGAAGAGCATCTTCGCAAGCAGGCTGGCTAACCTAGTGAGGAGGGCTTTTAACTAGGTTCACCGGGGGAAGGAGACCAAAGCCCTGAGGCAAGTGGGGAAGTGGGATACCGGGAGGAGGCATGAGCAGGAGTGCATGAGAGGGGAGGGCTCCTGCCTCATACTGAGAAAGAGGGGCGATCAGCAGGTTACCTCAAGTGCCTATATACAAATGCACAAAGCCTGGGAAACAAGCAGGGAGAACTGGAAGTCCTGGCACAGTCAAGGAATTATGATGTGATTGGAATAACAGAGACTTGGTGGGGTAACTCACATGACTGGAGTACTGTCATGGATGGATATAAACTGTTCAGGAAGGACAGGCAGGGCAGGAAAGGTGGGGGAATTGCACTGTATGTAAGAGAGCAGTATGACTGCTCAGAGCTCCGGTACGAAACTGCAGAAAAACCTGAGAGTCTCTGGATTAAGTTTAGAAGTGTGAGCAACAAGAATGATGTCATGGTGGGAGTCTACTATAGACCACCAGACCAGGGGGATGAGGTGGATGAGGCTTTCTTCCGGCAACTCGCAGAAGTTACTAGATCGCAGGCCCTGTTCTCATGGGAGACTTAAATCACCCTGATATCTGCTGGGAGAGCAATACAGCGGTGCACAGGCAATCCAGGAAGTTTTTGGAAAATGTAGGGGACAATTTCCTGGTGCAAGTGCTGGAGGAACCAACTAGGGGGGGAGCTCTTCTTGACCTGCTGCTCACAAACTGGGAAGAATTAGTGGGGGAAGCAAAAGTGGATGGGAACCTGGGAGGCAGTGACCATGAAATGTTCAAGTTCAGGATCCTAACACAAGGAAGAAAGGAGAGCAGCAGAATACAGACCCTGGACTTCAGAAAAGCAGACTTTGACTCTCTCAGGGAACTGATGGGCAGGATCCCCTGGGAGAATAACATGAGGGGGAAAGGAGTCCAGGAGAGCTGGCTGTATTTTAAAGAATCCTTATTGAGGTTACAGGGATAAACCATCCCGATGTGTAGAAAGAATAGTAAATATGGCAGGCGACCAGCTTGGCTTAACAGTGAAATCCTTGCTGCTCTTAAATACAAAAAAGAAGCTTACAAGAAGTGGAAGATTGGACAAATGACCAGGGATGAGTATAAAAATATTGCTCGGGCTTGCAGGAGTGAAATCAGGAAGGCCAAATCACACCTGGAGTTGCAGCTAGCAAGAGATGTTAAGAGTAACAAGAAGGGTTTCTTCAGGTATGTTAACAACAAGAAGAAAGTCAAGGAAAGTGTGGGCCCCTTACTGAATGAGGGAGGCAACCTAGTGACAGAGGATGTGGAAAAAGCTAATGTACTCAATGCTTTTTTTGCTTCTGTCTTCACAAACAAGGTCAGCTCCCAGACTGCTGCACTGGGCACCACAGCATGGGGAGGAGGTGACCAGCCCTCTGTGGAGAAAGAAGTGGTTCGGGACTATTTAGAAAAGCTGGACGAGCACAAGTCCATGGGGCCGGATGTATTGCATCCGAGAGTGCTAAAGGAGTTGGCGGATGTCATTGCAGAGCCATTGGCCATTATCTTTGAAAACTCATGGCAATCGGGGGAGGTCCCAGATGCCTGGAAAAAGGCTAATGTAGTGCCCATCTTTAAAAAAGGGAATAAGGAGGATCCTGGGAACTACAGGCCAGTCAGCCTCACCTCAGTCCCTGGAAAAATCATGGAGCAGGTCCTCAAGGAATCCATTCTGAAGCACTTAGAGGAGAGGAAAGTGAACAGGAACAATCAGCATGGATTCACCAAGGGCAAGTCATGCCTGACTAATCTAATTGCCTTCTATGATGAGATAACTGGCTCTGTGGATGAAGGGAAAGCAATGGACGTGTTGTTCCTTGACTTTAGCAAAGCTTTTGACACGGTCTCCCACAGTATTCTTGCCAGCAAGTTAAAGAAGTATGGGCTGGATGAATGGACTATAAGGTGGATAGAAAGTTGGCTAGATTGTTGGGCTCAATGGGTAGTGATCAATGGATCCATGTCTAGTTGGCAGCCGGTATCAAGTGGCGTGCCCCAGGGGTCGGTCCTGGGGCCGGTTTTGTTCAATATCTTCATAAATGATCTGGAGGATGGTGTGGATTGCACCCTCAGCAAGTTTGCAGATGACACTAAACTGGGAGGAGTGGTAGATACACTGGAGGGCAGGGATAGGATACAGAGGGCCCTAGACAAATTGGAGGATTGGGCCAAAAGAAATCTGATGAGGTTCAACAAGGACAAGTGCAGAGTCCTGCACTTAGGACAGAAGAATCCAATGCACCGCTACAGACTAGGGACCGAATGGCTTGGCAGCAGTTCTGCAGAAAAAGACCTAGGGGTTACAGTGGACGAGAAGCTGGATATGAGTCAACAGTGTGCCCTTGTTTCCAAGAAGGCCAATGGCATTTTGGGATGTATAAGTAGGGGCATTGCCAGCAGATCGAGGGACGTAATCATTCCCCTCTATTCGACATTGGTGAGGCCTCATCTGGAGTAATGTGTCCAGTTTTGGGCCCCATACTACAAGAAGGATGTGGAAAATTTGGAAAGAGTCCAGGGGAGGGCAACCAAAATGATTAGGGGACTGGAACACATGACTTATGAGGAGAGGCTGAGGGAACTGGGGATGTTTAGTCTTCAGAAGAGAAGAATGAGGGGGGATTTGATAGCTGCTTTCAACTACCTGAAAGGGGGTTCCAAAGAGGATGGATCTAGACTGTTCTCAGTGGTAGCAGATGACAGAGCAAGGAGTAATGGTCTCAGGTTGCAGTGGGGGAGATTTAGGTTGGATATTAGGAAAACCTTTTTCACTATGAGGGTGGTGAAACACTGGAATGCGTTACCTAAGGAGGTGGTGGAATCTCCTTCCCTAGAAGTTTTTAAGGTCAGGCTTGACAAAGCCCTGGCTGGGATGATTTAATCGGGGATCGGTCCTGCTTTGAGCAGGGGTTGGACTAGATGACCTCCTGAGGTCCCTTCCAACCCTGATATTCTATGAGTCTATGATTCTATGATTCACCCTGTACCCTCTCCAGCCAAAGGCATTAGGTGCAGAACTGGGCACCGGGGAGAAGCATTCTGTGACGGAACAATCCTCCAGCTTCACACTTCCCTCGCTTTTCTCCTTTATTTGTTTCCATTTCTCCTGTGGATTTTTTATGCCTGGTGCATGGTGCCAGCCTAATTAATCCCAGAGGCTGATGTCTGCCACCCACCGTTAGCAGTGCTAGCTTCTCCCTGTCACCCGGGCACCATCCCCTGGGGCTGAGCTTCACCCCTGTTCTGGAGAGACCCCGAAGTTGAAGTTCAGATACAGCCCATTCATTCTGGGTCTTCTCCACTGCAATGCCAATGAGGATCACTTGTGATGGTCAGTTTTGTGATGTGGACATCTGCCTGCTGAAAGCCCCAGTTCACTGGCTCTAGGAACGCCTATACAAGGGCTGGATTTTAATCTGTGACTTGGCGGCAAAAGGCTCCCTGTCCTGCCCCTAATCCTGGCCTGTAGCATCTCTGTGCAGCCCTGATTATTGCAGTCTGAAGGAACAGCCCCCGAGGCATTGAAGACGTGCTTCCGGCACACCTGTCTCTACACCATGTGCTCTTCGGAGGGATGGGACGCACCTGCAAGTTCCTGTCGATCAGCTTGTTAGTTTCAAAGTCATCGTCGTCCTCTCCAAATGGGTTAATGATCTGTTCTGCTACCTGGAGAATGAAGGCAGAACACCCCATGAGATACACGCACTCAGACACCAGGCTCAGGGTTCTTTCATGCTTGTGAAACACGCTGCACTGACAGCTGTTGCTATGGTGACCACTTCTTATCTGAGGGCCACTGATGCTTTAGGGACCGTGTAGTGTGTACGTACCCGGTCCCTTTCCCAAGGAGACCACAGTGGAAATGTGGATGATGATGTGGACGATGCATTTGAACGCACACAGTGCAAGCCCAGCTGAAGGGCCAGTCTCGGAGCCATGTGCACTTGCTTTCTCATCTTTTCTCTTCTCTCATTTCGGCGGTGGATTTTCACTTAAAGGCTTTACCGAAAAGGAGCCTCTTAAGCAGGGCTTTGCAGCCCCGGAGGCCTCTGCTTGCCCGCAGAAGAGGTACAGATGGGAAGCGGTGCTGCAATCTTCCCTGATGCTGAGGCACATTTGCCCTGAGCTGGAGAGACCCCTTCTAGGGCAGAGAGTGGAGGTCAGTCCCAGTGGCCCATTTTGTCATTGCTAAAAGGGTCCACAAGAGGGGGCCAGTCCGAGAGAATTAATTGTTGAGTGGGACACTTGTCCCACTAGGTATTGAACCAAAATCCCAATTCATCTCTCACTGAGTCCATCTGATGGGAAAGACTCACTCACCTGGGATACATCCACACCAGTGACTGTGAGACACAAGCCCATGGGCGCCAGTTGGCAAAGGGTTCACAGCTCTGAGTCAGCACCTCCTAACAGGCCTGAAAAACTCGCTGCGCGTAACAAATTGCTTTTGTAGGATTTATCCCTAAACGATGGGGCTTTGTAAGGTCTCCAGCGAAAGCCAGGAGCATGCTGGTCATTCATTTCGCTGTGAAAGGCATATATATTGATGCAATTTTAATCATTATGTCTATTTACTGAAAATCTGACCTGGTCACTCTGGGAAACACTGCTGTAGATGAGAAGCTACTTTAGACAAGGGTTTGAGCCATTAAAATTAAGTTTTGACTCTGCTACACCTGTTGTCCTGCTGTTGTCCGTGTGACCATTCTGCTGCTAATATTCTTGCGCACGACTCATTTGGCTCTTTGGGCCTCGGCTCTTTGCCAATAAACGTATTTGTATTAGAAATAACTCGTAGCACTGTGGTGCCAAGTGAAGTGCGACGCCTCGGCTGGATTCACCAAGGTGACGTGCGCACTGTTCTCTTTCCGGGACAGCGAACCTGGTGCCTAGGAGCGTCCAGGGACAGGCACTGCACGGAGCGCCGTGAGGACTTGGGGGTGGCTCTGTGTACACCTAGCACTGGCCTGCACAGAAAGGGCGAGTCTGCAGAGACCCAGAAGTACCGGCTTGCGGGGCCAGAGGCTGTTGGTTTCAGGGAGCTGAACCACAGCAGAGATAGACAAAGCTGGTTCATGCTAAGGGCAGACAGTGGGTGCCCCTGGGGAGTGTCACAGTGACCTAGAGGTGAAAGGCTCCTCCTCGATTCCCCTGACATCCCCCAGGACCCTATGTCATGTTCACAGAGGGGACAGGGGCTGCAGGGGAGTCTGACAACCGCGGGCAAGGTCAGATCTCCCACCAAGCTGGTGCCCGGCAGGGTCCTGCGCCAGGACTGTGCTCACCTTCAGCCAGCCAGCATAGAAGAAGAACTGCAGGAGGGTGGTCAGAGGGACGTACAGATCCAGATCCCGGTCCTGATCCTGCTCTGGGTCCAGGGGCTCCAGAAACTGCCGCCCGATCACACAGAAGGCGAAGAAGGAATAGACAGCGATTGTGACTACCTGCAACAGAGGCTCTCCGTTAGCCAGAGCGGGGTGGGGAGAAGCCACTGGCTAGTCCCAATGCAAATGGAGAATCCCAAAGGGGGAACTACTGCTTTGAAAAATGAGACTAGATACAGTTTGACAGATGGAGATAGATGAGAGTAACACTGAGATCCCGGCACTGGTGAGCGTTAAAGAGTCTGGGGCACATCTCACAAGAGTAGCGTGCTGTGTAAATTGGTATCCTGGCCAAATTCCAACTTGGGTGATTCCATGCTGCCACTTCACACTCTTCCTACAGTTTCATTAGGAAACTGGATCCTTTTCCCTTCCCTGTTTGAACCCCTCCTTGTCCAATGTTGCTGTGTGCTCCAGAGGTGGATGCAGTGTAGTGGTGGGTGAAGCGCCAAGTGCTTTGGGATGAAAAGCAGTAGAGAAATTCAAGTTGTGTCTAGGAAGACAAGGATCTACCGCACCATGGGTTAGCCCCCAGGGCCCCATAAACTCTCTGAAGATGCTATATGTAGAAGGTAATCTCTACCCTGTAGAAGTAGCCTGAAGTAGTGGCTTACATGTGAAGGGTGTTAGGGAAAGGAGCTGATTCCCTTGCTGTGATTGGGATGGAGGGTTCAGTTTCCGTGTGCCGTGTGGTTCCCATCTCCTGATCCCATTGGAGGGTTGGAAATGGAGGGTGAGCTGAAGGCCGGGCACTCACTGACCTGTGTGTACACCAGTGGGATGCTGATCCAGTCGTAATGGAACAGCATGCTGCATTTGGCACGGTACAGATTCAGTTCCTACGCAGAGAGGGGAAAGTGGGGGTTATCACCTGGGTGACAGCAGCCTTGGACAGGCTCCCCCCCACCAGCAGCTGACACTCCTCCTCCCCAGATCCCAGCAACAAGCCCCGTTTCACACACCCCTGCCCCATCCCTTGACCTTCCAGTCCCTGCAAACTTACATCTATAAGTAAGCGGAGGGCCACGTCGTCCCTGACCCGCCCATCTCGCCTCGCCTGGGCAGCCAGGTTGGTGAACCACACGCAGGGGATCCAGTACTTGTTAAAGTCCGAGTGGAGGCTCTCAAACTTCTTGCGCTCTTCCTGTGTCATGAAGCCTATAGCGTGGGAGACAGCAGGAGGGCAGATATTCAGGGTCCATGAATCCAGCAGTGGTGAAAAGGACCAGATTGTCTGGCCTGGCTGCAGCAGCCCTCCATCCTCAGAACAGATACGGTGCGGGCAGCAGCAGGGCAAGCTCCCCACACACTGCTCCATCAATGTGCCCCATCTTGAGATGGGGGGTGCCCTCTCCAGGGGCAGGGAGATCAGTCTCCATGACCCGCTCAGTCCTTGATCTCTCTGCTGATGCTGCCAGCAAGGGAGTTGGTTGGGTGGGGTGGGTTTTGTGTTGGGCACCCCTGTCTTAGGAACCGGATTGAGACCAAAGCTCATTTCACACAGACCACCAGGCAGCCATCAGCTGGTAGCAACTCCCAGTGACTACCGACTTGGGCTGGATCTGAGCTCTGCCTCCCGCCCCCCTCCCCGAGCTGTCCAGCCCCCTTTCTGTGACTCAGACAGCCATGGGAGCCCCTGGAACCAGTTCCATCCCTCTGCCTCAGTAACTGGTGATGAACTCAATGTGGTTTCACTGCTAACCTGGCCTCCTGGTTGCCCAGGAGGGAGTCACTCCAGGGTCACAGATTCCAGAGGAAGGCTCCCACCCCTAGAGTCTACATTCAGTGGAGGGAGGAGGAGTCTCCAAGGCCGCCACTGAGCAAGGCATAGGGAGAAATGGGTCCCTCGGGATGGAAGGGGGACAAGAAATCATCCAGGCAAGAAAACACACCCTGCCAAGCTAGGCTTTCCCTGGACACTGGACCTTAACTCCAGCCCTTGCTGCTTCTTAGGCAGAGAGCTGCTGGCCGTAGCCTGGAAATTAACCAACGCATCAGTGCTCTGCCCCGGCCCTGAGACGAGCTCACCTGCATCTACCAAATGGTCCATGGTTGGAAACCTCTTGAGCACCCTGGTGCTGACAGAGCGCAGGATGAGCACGGAGGACAAGTTGGCGTAACGGATGAGCGAGCGCCGCAGGATCCTCCCCTTTTCATCCTTCCCGTGGACGGTGCTGGAGATGACGCACATCAGCTGGTCAGGCAGCGGGATGCTGGTGTACTGGGCCCACCACCTGTTCACGATCAGCGTGACGTAAAAACCTGCCCAGGGAGATAGCCCACAGGGGCACGGTTACTAGCTGGGGAGGCCGAGCATCGGAGACCCAGCAAGGAGAGAGGCAGGAGCAAGTGGGGTCATTAACTAGGGATGGTGTCTGGTGACTTGCGGGCTGGGCTGAGTGTGAGGGGCCGGCAGAGCTGCAGTGTGGGCCGTGGCTGTGTTGCCTTGTCTAGATGGGATTTGAGCGTGTGGGAGCTCACGTGTGCTAACGGGTGTGTTTTAAAAGACAAGTGCAGACAAGGCTTATGGGGCCCCATTTCCAAAGGGATCTAGGCACCTAGAGAGACTGACAGGTGCTTCTGAAAATCCCAATTGGTCCCTCTCTAAATCCCTTTGAAAATCTGGCCCATTGCCTTCAACATCCACTAAAATGGTTGAGTGAAAACCTACCCTCCTCCACTGGCTTTAACATGATCCATTCAGCGTGTATGAGCCCTTCACACTAGAAGACTTCCCCGATGCATTAGGTGGAAGGTGTTAGCCTGCTTGTTAACATCAGCCCTTTGAATCCAAATCTAAGCCAAGCCTGAGCAACAGCGGGGCGAAAACTCTCTTGGTTAAAGAATCACTATTCCCATCCTTCATGTGAGAACCAAAAGTTCCACACCAAAGCCAGGGCAAAGCAGACCTCCCATAGCTCATATCCCCAGCGCAGAAACAACGCTGGTGTTTTGGGGGCAGGGCAACGAACGCTTTCCACCCTTTCTACACACCATAAAGAAGAGACAGATTTTCCCCTCGGCCAGTTTCCGCCTGTGACAACTGTATCAGCACTCTGATCACTGGACCACCAACTGCATCGCTCTGGAGGAAATCTGAGGGGCAAAGCTGGGCCTAACTGGGGAGGTGCAGGAGATCATGACAAGGCTAATTAGCCCATGAGCCCAGAAAGTAGAAAAGGCACAGGAAAGAAGAGCAGGGGGTAGACTAGAGCAGAGAGAAGCGACATGACTGACCCACCCACCTACCCACTTTCAGAGCCAGAGCCCTCTGCCTCTCAGAAACCTTCTGTCTCCCCCTCCGTGGCTGTGAGCGCTAAGGATTGCATGCAGCTGTAAGTACAGAGCTGCACAAGTTTGTACGGTTGGTGGGGAGAACGCTGTAAATAACTTGCACAAGGTGTGTGACCAGAAGATGGTCTCCTAGCGGTTTGTGGCTAGAAAAGAGACAGAAGTGGGAAGACACCTGGTCACCATGTTTGTCTGGTTTCTGTGGGAGACGGATTTCTCTGTGGCAGGAGAGATAAAGAGTAGCTGAGCTGTTTGAAGGGACATTGTGCTTTTCCTTTGACTCATTTCCCCTGGCAATAGCGGAAGGATCAGGACTGACATCTGATAACCTACAGCTGGGCTTGAATGAACAGCTCCAGCATTTAGCCAGACTCTGGCTGAATTCGATAGAGGAGATTTTGTAAAGAGCAGTGAAAAGACCAGAATCCCCGAGGGAACAGCTGGTAGATCCATCAGCTGAGGCCTTTCAGGGATGCTCAGACAGGGTGAAATTCACCCTGTTCAGTGGAGCCCACGCCTTGTGCCAGCCAGCTCTCTGAACGGGGTGAATTTCTAGCTCTTGTGAATATCAGGCCTGGGCACCGGGGGGGCAGCCCGCGGGCAGCCACCCACCCGAGCTCAGCAGGTTAGCTACTGCAGGAGCCACCTCTCAGAAAGGAGCAAAGAAGTTCCTCATTTCTCTGGCACATGGGAGGGGCAGGGTGCCACTAAATAATGCACCAGTCATCTGTCAGAGATAATCCCGTTCCCAAGGCACAGCAGGGTGGGGAGAGGTGTTCATGGGCGCCACTGCATTCCCACAAACTTTTCCCAGCATGGGAAGCTTTGGCTGGGTGAGGGCTTGTTTTAGCCGGTAAATGTCTAATCATTAATCCCTCGCTCCATTTTCCATGTCTCCCCATTCATGCTTGGTGCCCCCTCCCACCCCTCCCTTCTGTCCGTGCCCTCTGCTCACACATACAACAGTCGCTCACGTTTTTGCAGGACTTCTCTTCCCCTGAGGATCCTAAATGTGCTGCACTTATCCACAGGGGTTGCTGAAATGCAGCCACCTCTGGGGCAGAACAGCAGTGCTACATAACAGCTTAGCAGAGGGAAGGAGAATTCTGCAGGGGGAATAGAGAGGCTGAATGGACAATATTGGGAGGAAGTGTGGTCAAGTGGGAGACAGGATGCCTGAGTTCTATCCGTGGGTCTGCCTCTGATATGCTGTGTGACTTCGGGCAAGTCATTTTCACCTGCTGGGGGCTCGGTTTGCTCATCTGTAATATAATGGGGATGATAGTGCTAACCCTCCTGTGGCAGGTGCATTAAGATCCTGGGGTGAAAATAACTGTTGTCACCTTAATTGGAACTGGGCTAACTGCCCGTGTGTTTCTGGGGCCTGGAGCCAAAGAATCAGGGATCCCTTCCAAGAGTCATGCCCTGGCCCATCTGATCCATTCGCTCCAGCCTTAACTGGCCATTAAGGATGGAAAACAAAGTAGGGGGCACTTTACCCAGGACAAAGGACATGGGGATGAGGTCCGTGGAGCGGTTGCAGTACTGAGCCACTTTCACATAGACACGCTTCTGCTCTTCAGTCAGCAGCCGCCTGCAGGGACACAAAGAGCCGGGATCAGGTGCTTAACCTGGTGTGCGTTATTGCCTGGAACCTCCAACTCCGCTCTGTGCTCATCTTCAGACTCCCCTTCCTCTCGCTGGCCCGTCACAGGAGCACCAGCTCCTCCCTGCTCTCTCCCTCCCCAAGTGACCCCACCCCCCAGCCTGCAATGGATGGCTCGCTGTGGTATATTTCTTCAGGAGTTTCCACTCCAGCTATCATGTGCCAAGCCAGGGATCTTTCACTGATGGGGGCATGCGGGATCTCTCCAGTGGCAGGTTTTCCCTCAGACTAGCATTTCCTGATGTTTTCCAGTCAAATACTCTAACGGCAGGCACTGTCCATCGGCAGAAACAGGGTTAATAAAAGAGAAGCAGCAACAGCAAGTGGGTAAAGGACACAGGTGTTTCCAGCAAGTCCGCATGCGAGTGAAACAGACTGGCTGCTGCATGAGAAGGGAACAGCCTACTACTGCTACCGGCTCATGAAATCAGTCCTTTATCCCAGGTGGCAGAGGGCTGCCATAGGTCCTGGGTTCTGTCCCTGGAGTGTCAACATCCCATGTGGGGAAGCCGTTCCACAGACTCACCGGTAAGTGATGCTCAGCATCGTGTACAGCATGACAAAGACAATGAACTCCTTGTACAGCAGTTTGTAGATGCTCCCCTTCCACCTGAAGAGCAGCTTGGAGAAGCCTCCGAACTGGGCATTGGCCACCTTCAGCGTGTAGGAGACTGTCATGGCTGCCTGCCTCCGCCCCCTCCGGGCTGCAGTGGGGAGAGACGGCACTAGAGTGAGATTTCCCCTCCGCCTCCCTGGAGCTCCGCCTGCAAGTCTGAGGAAGCTCTGTGGTCTCAAGTGCCACGGCTGGAGGTCACAGACCGAGCCTGAGCCCGCTTCGGGCCACCAGGCTGGGATCCAGCGGCCAGCACGCATTTCCAGTGCAGGCCTCATAATAATCCGTGGCCGCAGATGCCACACTCGTCAGCCAACTGCGAGCCCATGCTCCTTCAGCCACCAAGGGGCAGCCGTGCGCCTCGACGCACACCACCTGACACCTCCCATGCAGTGGGTGGGGCATGTGTAAGCCACGCGAGGCGTGCATGTCTTTGTCGCTCTCTAGTGGTTGTTCCACATCAGAGGATAAGAACCTACTACATCTACCATGTGATAGTTATTCTTTTAGCTCAGTTGGTAGGGGCTCATGCTGAGGGTCCGGTGTTCCATCCCTGGTGAGGACCCACCATGGTGCTGGTGGGGAAACCATACACGTGCACAAGCATACACACCCAGAGCAACAACTGTTAATAGAGGGCACCAGCTGATCGATACACAGGCGAGTGCATACACCCGTTGCTAGCAGACAGTGCCAGCTGAGCAGATGCTTCCCTTCATAATGTCAGTTTTATTAATACATATTGGTTCCAATTCAGACCAGGTGTGATCAGATAGAACTGGGCTGAGCTCAGTGGAGTTACAGCCACCCACCCCAGGTCTGGATTTGCACTATCCCATCTTACGTGGCTATAATAGAGAGTCCTAGGCTGCAGCGTGGCTCATTATTGACTTGTCACTCTCCCAGCTTAGCATGTAAACCCACAGCTGGTGCAGGGCACGGTGTGAACCGAACGCTTTGTAGGGAGGCTGGCGGGCATAGAAGCCCTTTCTCTGGGGGGCTCTGCTCTGGGGAATACCCATGCTGTACGGTGCAGTTGGGTGAACACCTGCTCCTCAGGCAGGTCAAAAGTCAGCCCCTGCCTGGGATGGTGTAGCAGCTTCCAGAGAAGGGGATGCAGCCCAAACAAGGTGGTGAGCCCTCCACCTTCCCACCCGGCTTCCCAGAGTCCCCCTTGAAAACCATTTAAGGGAAACAGTGCCGCTTCGGCTCAGACACTCGCGTGGAGAATACACACGCTTTGTTTCTGTTCAAAGAGCCGGTTCAGTGGCAACAGCTGATTCTCCCACACACTCCCCTACAAGACACTGCTAGTCCAGAACTCCTTCAAGGGAGACGCCCACAAATGAACGGACCCCCGCTCCTACCCACATCAGTTGCTGCTCCCCTGGAGTGGAGAGCCTCCTACCTGCACCAGGAGTCCCTTTTTGTCCCACCAGCGTCCAGGCAGCGAGAGAGCCTTTACGTTCTCCCTTTAAATACCTCCCCGTGGCTCATAAACCACATTCCTCAGGGTGATGGATTGGGGGTTAGCGCCAGGCAGAGAACAGGAACTGACAGGGAGGGTCACACCAGCCATGCCTCTGCCGGCTGTCCAGCGGTGTCCTGAATTTAACTGAGCCCCTCTGGCGAGATATAGCCAGCACTCCGACTCGCAAGGCTCCCAGATCGTCCTGCTGGACTCACACAGGCCTGCCTGGCACATGGCACGTGGCCACTCACATCAAATGGGGATTGCCTGCTAACTCCCAGTGCAGCAGAGATTCAGGAGAGATCCATGCACGGCTGCATCCTGGGATTCCTGCTTAACCTCCCCAGTCGCGCCGGGCAGTGCTGCCAGGAGCAGGGGCCACCGGGTAATTTCCACACACGAAGCGCTGCACTGTGGGATGGCGAAGGGAGGACCAGCTGAACCTAATGCAGAGGCAATGCTTGCAGCTTCCATCCACACCGGAGAGAAACCGAGGCAGATGGCTCTGGTTACGGGGAGCCCAGGCTTGGAAAACGTCTGGTTTTGATTGCATGTGGCAGGCCGTGGTGTGCAGAGAGTACAGGCTCAAAGCATTCCGAGCAGGGTCATGGAGAGAGCGATCAGGCCGCTGCTCTGTGCCACTGTGTCTCTTTGCTCCCATAAGAGTCAGCAGAATTTAAGATTTGGGTTTTTTTTTTAAATTAAAGTTTCTAGCCTTTCTTGTTGCAAAGAAACCTTGTGAAGGTGACCTGACACAGGCGCCCCACCATCACGCCGTCGAGTCTGCGAGGAGACAGAGACAATGGTTCTAAGGGAGTGAATGTGGGTTTATTCTGGAGCCTAATGACAACAGTGAACATTGGAACATTAACTCTTTCATTGCTGACTATTGTAGCAGAAGCATCCAGCTCCTCTTGGGCTGTGGTGGATTTTGGGGTTAGGAGCAGAGCTGGAGTAGGTGACCATCCCAGTTTCCCCCCTACTCTGAGCCCTGGTTTCAGCAATGGTTTAAAATTGAGCCAGTGTAGCCTAAAGTGAGAATTTCAATTGATTTTGTTCAACTAGTACAAACCTCTGATTCCAGACCAACAGGTATGTTGTTTGCTTTTTGTATTAGCTCAGGGGGTCTCAAACGTCATTGCACCGCACCCCCCTCTGACAACAAAAATTACTACATGACACTGGAAGGTGGGGTGTGGGGTGGAGGGAGTGAAGCCTGAGCCCACTCTGGGCAGGTTGGGGTCGGAGCCAAAGCCCAAGCCCTACCACCCCAGGTCGGGGGGGTTGGGGGGTGAGAGAGACCAAAGCCGCAGCCCGTGGGCTTCAGCCCCAGGGAGGGGGCCTGTAACTCTGAGCCCTGCCACCAAGGGCTGAAGTGCTCGGGCTGGCCTTTGGCCCCGGGCAGTGGGGCTTGTGTTTTGGCCCTGAGCCCCAACAAGTCTAACGTCAGCCCTGGCTCCCCCATTAAAATGGGGTCGTGACCCACTTTTGGGGTCCCAACCCACAGTTTGAGAACCGCTGTATTAGTTTAATTCAAGTGGGAACAGGAATAAGCGAAAGCAAAATAAATCCCTCTTCTACTGAAGTAAGAGTGTCCACACATGGGGTTGCATTGGTTTAAAAATGAGATAAGCTAAAGCAGTGTAATGTTCCCCTGTCAACAAGGCCTTAGAGAGTGAACACACCCTAGCAGCATCCACTGCATGAGCTCTAAAGCACTAGGGCATATTCTTCCTCAGTGTTGCCAAGTCTCCTGACAATTCTTGTTTTCCTTAAAGCACCAGTGCCTGGAGTCAAGGGGATCTGTGATGGTTTCAGCCTTCGTTCTTTAAGAAAAAGTAAGTTTCTAGCCCTCGTGGCTGAGGCGAAAGCTTCCAAATGTGACCCCTGTGCACCCTAAAGGCTCAACAAGCAAAAGGCAAATAAAACAAACTCCAGATCGATTATTTGTACATAATCTCATGATTTTTGGTGAGCCTGAGTCATGATTTTTGAACATTTGGGGTTGGCGACGCTGCTGAGCTCTCACCTCCCTTCACTTCATTGAACACAGGAGAAAAACTCCAGCCAACCTCTCCACTTCTCTGCCCCAGCACAGCGGACGGGGGACCCCGCAGGCACTGAAGTCTTCTGCGCTGACCTGGGGCAGCCTGACCCTTTAAGAGCTGGACCAGGCTTGTGTGACCCATCTAATGAGCCCTGCCTGTCACACCTGGGATGGGGGGTGAAGATTAATCAGCAGAACCAGTTGAGTCCGGAGGGGCTGGTTCCCCGATAAAGAACAGCAGGGAGGGTGATGCCCAGGGAGAATTGGGGAGGGGGCAGTGAGTAGGTTCCCCATAGGGAGTCCTGAGTCTCCAGAAAGAGGCCGCAGGCTGGGATAGCCTGGATGACTCCCCCCCCATCTGCATAGGAAAGAAACCTATTGTTATTCTGAAACCTGTTTTGGGAATGGTTTTGTTCTTTTAATAAACCCAGCCTGGGGGGCGGGGCAGTAGCAGAACCAGAGTTTGTTGGGTAGCTTGAGTGAGTGAGCCCTGAAAGTGGGGAAACTGAGGCAGGGTGCCAGCAGAGTGACCTCAGCCCAGGAGGGAGTGCCCAGGAGGCAGCCACTCTGTTCACAGGCACCCAATCCGGCTTTGAGACTCTGAGCAGTTTGGCATCCCTCAAGCACATCTTTATTGAATTACCGAGTTGAGTGCCCTTTGGTGACCAAGTTTGTTCAAGGCTAGAAAGGAGCCAGTTTCTCACCGCGTGATGGACTTGAACTAGCTCCCCTTGAGATTAAAAAGGAAAGCTGCAATGGAACGTAAAATAGTTTCCAGTCTCTTGAGCGAGGACACCACACTGCTCTGTCTCTGGGGGGGGGAAATAACTAAACACAAAGTAACGAAGCAGGCGTGGTGGCAGCCTAACATAGCTCGCTGGGATGACCAGCACCACAGCTGCAGGCAGATACACAAAGAACGGCAGGCCAGCCCAGGAGCTTTCTGGGGCTTGCTTTCTAGCATGGCATGCGTGTCCCAGTAATGCTCTCACCTTCCTGCCTGGATGTGTCCTCCAGCTGCATTTCCTGCTGGAATCCTCAGGGATCGCCCTTGGGGTACTGACCTGCTCGTCAGTGCATGTTAATGAAGATATTGTGAAACATGTTAGATCCCATTAAAGCCTGATGTGCAATTTCTTTGTTTAATTTACATATGCAGATTAAGTATATTTTTCTGTAGCCCCTCTGGGTCTTATATATTTAACTGGCATTGAGAAAACTAAATGCATTATCTTTTGTTAACCATTTTTTTATTTCCACGAGGCGGGGAAGGGGCGGAGCTGTCCACGTGCTATTGTTTAAAAGACTCTGCCTTTCCTCCAACCCCTCTGGAAGGAAACTGTGTATTCCCTGAGCGTCTCCACGGTACTAAGCACCCTCACTTCCAGACCCCGGTGGATATTGATCCCGCCTTGGTGTTGAGTCATAACTAGTTTGCTGCTGTGCGTTTTGGACTTACCCTGAAGTAAACCCCTGGAAGAAAGCATTGGTGGGATATAAATAAATACTCAAATCAAAACAAAGCACCAACATATGGGGCAGGGGCTCCTTGCCAAGCAGAGATTGCTGAGCGATATTCTTTGCAGGAAATGCAGCTTCCTCTAACGGAGATATCAACATGTTCTGTCCCTCCCCTTCTTGGAGCTCTTTCATCTCACAGCCCTGCCTTATGTCTAGTGCTGGTACGTCTGGTAAGGCCAGCTATAGTCAGCATCTTGCACCCCTTTCTTCCCCCTATCCCCAGTCAGATCTTTGCACCCACTGAAGCTGTGGTAGCTAGGGGAGAATCCAGCCTGAAGGTTATGAGAGATCCAGGCCATGCAGGAGCAGGTCACTTTGGGAGCTAGTCGGTTCACCAGGAGAGGGCTGCAGGTTCGGGGTGTGTCTGGTGAACCTGCTTGTCCTTCCGGCACTGAGGCTGAGTGACTGTTAATGAAACGTTCCCCGAAACTCTGCCGTTCCTTCCTGGGGCCAGTACGTCTCTCCATGGAGGGTTAACCCCAGCCTAGACTGCTCCTTTCCCTGGCATCCAGGAAAGTCTCAGTTCCCAGAGCCTGGTGGCCTCGGAGAAAGGAAGGAATTAATTCCTTGCCGCCCACTGCTCCGTCCCCCACACAGCCCTCGCTCCCTCTCGTCTCCTTTCGTCCTCTGCCTCCTTGAGCCTTTGTGTGCCAGGATTCTTTGCACTGGCCGCAGTGACTCTTCCAAGGAGGAGCTGTGGCAGCTGGAGTGAAGGACCCTGGGGTTCAGGGGGACCCCAGTGCTGCCCGTAGGCCATACGAGGGCAGCAGGGGGTTGGGCTGTCTGGGCAGAAACTCCACGGGCAGAGGGCAGGGCCCTGGTGAGGGGCTGAGGTAGGAGTGGCAGCAGCCTATGCTCCCTGCAGGGTTCAGTGGATGTATCCGTTGAGCTCTGCCTTGGCCCTGCCCCGGGTAGGGGATGATTTACAACCCCTCCGCTCCCTTCTCCTCTTTCCCACTGGAGCCCAGCTCAGAGGAGAGGGCAGTAAATAGCCCTTATTTACAGCCGGCCTGCTCTGGTGACAGCTTCCCTGTGCAAAGGGTACACATCACCCACGGCAGGGTGGGGCTGGGCTGGGCAGCCCAGGAGAAGTCCGCAGCGGTGGGAGGGATACACCGACACTGCTGATCCTGTGTCCCCTGCGAGGCCGAACCCACTGTGAAAGCCTCGGCCTGGCTCTAGACGCTGCCCTGCACAGAGCGCCGTGGGCTGGTCCGAGTGGAAACAGGGATCCTCCACATACCCGCCCGGGAAAGGCAGCGGGATCCCAGCAGCGCCACGGCAGGGGCCATGGCTGTTGCAGCATCACGGGCCTCATAAAGATAAGCTGCGGAGTCGATCTCCAGGAGAAGTCGGCCTCGGGTTGAAGCTATTATGGCTGCTCATAAAACCATCCTTCAGCCTCAGCTGCTTTGCCTGTGGCCCGTGGGGAGGGGTCCCCTTTGCTGGCTTGCCCGGGCTCCAGCAGCATGCCAGCTGGCTGCAGGCAGGGTCGGTTCATGGCTGTCCCGGCGGGCAAGGACTGCACCCTGCGCCCACGCTCAGTGCCTGGGGCAGGGCGGGAGCTCTGGGCGTGTCTCTGGCTGGCTCCAGGGCAGCGGGAATCCCATCCCATTGAGCCCCCACAGCTGGCGGGAAGGAAGAGACAGCGAGGAGGGGGTGGGCACGAGGCTGGGGTTCAAAGGGGAAAACCAGGAGATCCTCATTACTCCAACAAGGATAAAATGCCCCTCACCAGCTGCCTGCCTCCCCCCATAGCCTGACACAGCTCTGCACTGGGGCCCCTGGGAGCATGAGCCAGAGAGGCCAGACAAGGGTTTGGGGACTGGGTGGTTGTGGCTGGGTCTGGCCCTTGTCCGAGGCCAACACCCGCATGGCCCAGCAGTAGGGCCGGCCAGCTGCAAAGCCTGCTTAGTTCAGCACTTCTCAGCTTCCTGCTGTGCTCTGCACGCTGAATGAAGCCTCCCAGCTCCGGGGGCCAGGTCAGCTTTACCCCACAGGGCAGCTAGGGGCACAGAGAGGAGCAGCTGTGCCCACAGCCGCCCAGACAGGAAGTGGCAGAAGAGGAATTAGAATGTGGCGTTCCTGCCTCCCACTCCTGTGCTCCAGCCACCAGCCCACACCCCTGCCACGCTCAGGCCTAGGGAGCCCTGGAGCCACAGGACGAGGGGCTGATGTCAGTGACTCTTGCGGCAGCAGGGCAGGCGTGGTGACTGGCTGCCTCATAAGCAACACACGCAGGGCCAGATCCTGAGCTCCTTAGCCCGAGCCAAGGGGAGAGGGGAGCTGGCCTGTTCTGCTTTGCGTCGTCCCAGTGTTGTACGTCCCCGCAGCAATAAATGACTTTCCTCCCAGATGTTAAAGGGCCAGGAGCTGGGAGCTCAGCTCTGCTGCTGCCCTCGTGCCCCAGGGCACTGGTCGTTGTTAACGCTGTGGGGTTTGGGGTACCAGGAGCTGTGGCCGGTCCCCTCTCTGCCCTGCAGGGAAATGCAGGGACTCTCTAAAGAGGCACAGCCCATCTCTGGACAGCAAGGGCCGCGAGGACACCTCACCGTTGGGTCCCTCCTCTTCCCGCAGCGACCCTGCCCTGTCCCCAGCAGAGCAGCCTTGGATTTCCAGGGCCTGAGCCTCCTCCCACTCATGCTGGTTTTGCACCCAGGTCACCCCAGTGACTTTGATGGAGATAGTCCCGACCTGCACCCCGAAGGCAGGAGCAGAACCAGGCCAGGGGTGGGAGCGTGGCAGAGGCCTGCTTGGGTCTAATTCAAGCCTGAGGGAGACCAAAACCCAACCCGAGCCTTTTTCAGACCCAACCCGTGTCAGTACCACCACCTCGTTCTTGGGGCTTCCCGCTCCCCATGCCCACGACCCGTCTCCAGCTGCCTCCTGCCCGCGGGGTCGCGCTGATGGCTCTGTGCCCCGACGGCTCCGTGCCCCTGCGGTGACACGCAGCCACTGCAGTGCCGACCCCCTCGGCAGAAGGAGGGGAATCACGCCGCGCCGGAGGGGGTCGGATAGGTTCCTGACCTGAACCCCTGTTGTTTTCCAGGGCATTCAGGGAGCAGCACGAAGCCCTGCTAAGGACGGCTGGCCCCTGACCACCAGTCGTGGGCGGCCACGGGAGCCTATGATGCGGGACATGTGCGGGAAGACCGGACCGTGAGAGGCAAAGGGGGTTTGAGGGTGGAGGGGGTGGGAATTGGGAAGGCAGCACGTCCCACTCTGCAATGAGCCAGCCGGAGTCATTTCCAGACATTTATACCTCATGTACAATTGCTCTCGCTCCAGTCCAATGGATCGACATGACAATGGTCGTTTGACTGACAAGATATCCATTCACTGCCTTCCAGGTGCATCCTGCGCTAGCTCCCATCCCCTCTCACCCCCGGGAGTGCGCTGGATGTCAGCAAGGGCAGGATACGGCCCCAGGTTCCCAGGACACGGCCCCAGGTTCCCAGGACACGGCCCCAGGTTCCCAGGACACCTCAGTGGCCAAGCCTCAGTGCAGGTCAATGTTCTCGTACTCCTGGTGGTCGGAGTCCTCCAGCTCGATGGCAGGCACCAGGTTGTAATAATCCACCGCCTGGCTCATGTAGAGCTTCTCTCGGTCCACCGAGTCCTTCAGGACGTCCGTCACGCTCACCGTCTCCGCTTCCAGCTCGCTGCCCGCCAGTTCGTCTGCTGCTGCCGCCACCGGGGGGACCCCCTCAGGGCCCGTCTCCTGGTCGAGGCTCCCATCGTTGACCAGCACCAAGGAATCATCCAAGGCCCCCAGCTTGATTTCCACCTCTTCGTAGAGGTCCCGGTTGCTCCCCAGCAGGGCAGTGGAAGGCTTCAGCAGGATCTGGTTCCTCAGCAGCATGTTCTTCTCGCTCTCGGTGGGGGCAGTGGGCAGCTCACACTGGATATAGTGGTGATGGTCTGCCAGCCCCTTGGCACCGTTCCTCTCCGCTGTGGCCAGGTGGCACTCCGGACTGCGGCTGAGGGCAGAGCCCGTCTTTCTCTTCTGCCTGCAAAAGCACCAGGCGACCAGGGCTAAAATGACCACAAGGGGCAGGCAGATGAAGAGGGCGGTCAAGCTGTGTGCCCGGCAGAGCTCCTTCTTACCGATGTCTCGGATGTCCATGCTGCGGTAACGCTCAGGGGTGCTGCACACCACGACAGAGCCCTGCATGTCCCCGCTGGGTGGCTCTCGGGGATACTTCTCCAGGTCACTGAACAAGGTGCAGGTGCAATCCCAGCTATTGTTGGAGAGGCCGAGCCTGGTGAGAGATGGCTTAAAGACACTGGAGGGAAGGGAGGCCAAGTCATTGAAGCCAAGGTTAACCTCTTGGATTTGGGTGGAAGCTCTCAGGAAGGATTTGGGCAGCTTGTGAAGCTTGTTGCCGTCCAATCGAAGGATCCTCAATCGGGGGGCATCTTCTAGGAAACTTTCTGGAAGCTTTTCCAACTGATTGTGATCCAAGTGCAAAATCTCCAGCATGACGGGCACCCCTGGTGCATTGACAATGTCCAATACGCTGCAATGCGAGAGGTATAGCTCTCTCAGGCCTGTTACTCCACCAAAGAGGCTCCAGTCCAGGGAGAGAATTTCAGTCCTGGTGAAGTTCAAACAGCATGTCTGGAGGGCTGGAGCGGCCTGAAAATCAGAGAAGGCCACAACTGTACTGCAGTTGCAGGTTTTTTCCACAGTTCCTAGAGCAAGTCGCGTGGCCAGCAGCAGCCCACCCCACAGTATGAAGGTCCACAGCTCATGACCTAAAGCAAAAAGGAGAGGAAAATAGATTCGTGATTTCTTCTGAGTAAAAAGAGGTTTGTAACTAACTCACAACAGTTCTTGTACAACAAACACCAATTGTTGAGTAAGCCTGCAGGTCGATCCATTTAATGGATCAATTTAACTCTTGGAGAGCAGTTTCTCTCTTCAAAAACTTTCCAAACTTTATCTGTACAAGGTTCACTTCACCCAGGCCTGAAATGTAGCTGTCTCTGGGGGGGAACCCCGCAGCGTACAGTAATTCTGCAAAGCAGCTTAAGATAGGAAGTGAAAAAGAATCCTATCCTAACTGAAATACAGGGAAACAGCGTGCAGGTACCCAGATGAGAACTTCACAAAGGCCGACCCTGCTGCTTTTATTAAACGTGCCATGGGATCTTTAACAACAATGAATGTTCAGAGCCTCCATTGTACGTGTCGTCGGAAAGATGGCACCCCCCAGCAGCACACCGCCCCCTATTGGCAATGCATGTTTAACCACTATTATTACTTATAGGTAATTAGAGGGATATACTATTGGTCACATCTTCCAAAATCTGCCACATTTAGCATCTCACATTAAAACACCCTGCAGCAGGGGAGAGGAAAGGGTTGGGGTGACCCCCTGTCCTTCTTTTGAGCCCTAAATATCTGTGACCCACTAGCATCTCCCAGTTGCATCTGGCATGAAAGGAGGGAAGAGGTGAGGGGGAACTGGCTGATTGGGAGGGACTTTTCTTTTTCAGCCACTAACTAAATTCACCCAGCCGCTCTAGCTCCTTCCCAAGAATGGAACCACCTGCCCCCAGTACGTGGTGGCCATCTAGGACTTTCCTCTGTCTGAGCATGAAACCCAGGCTGATTCTGGCAGGCAGCTGATGTCAAGCTGCTAACGCAGTTTCTGAAGCAACCCAGCCCTGGCACAAACAAACATGGGCAGGAGCCCTGCCTCTCACCTGGTCAGATCCTGCTGCTCTGCAAAGAGTTACCTGCACCAGGTACTCAGCTCAGTGCCCTGGAGCACTGGGGAACACCCTGATTACACCCACTCCAGAGGAGAGCAGTTCCCCAGGCAACGGCTGGGCAAACGTGAGCTCTTGTACTGAAAAGGGGCATGTGTTGTTCAAACCAGAAAGGTGGTGTGTGGGAATGACGCTCCCTAGGGCACAGAGATTGACTGGATACCCATGACCCTGCAATACTTGGCCAATGAGTGATCCAGATTCCTAGGACCAGTGCCCTGGGGTCGTCGGCATCTATGCTGCACAGACAGGACCATGGACTCAAAGGGATCATCCACACACAGAGTAAACTGCAGAAATATGCAGGCTGAGTTAGATCCTGATGGGAGTGAAACCTTTGGTTCCGAGGAGTGTAGGATTTCAGACTCGATGCCCTCCATCACCCCCTCCAGCAGGTCCAGAGCCGCAGCTATCTGCCTGTTCCTCTTGTAGCAGCCACATAAACTCCTTCCCATGGCTATGGCCATTCTTTCAGCTGGTCTGAGACCCTTCCGTTCACACTGGTGGTTGGAGGCATCTCTCCAGGATACTTCCATACAGCACAGCCACTTCTCTGAGGGTCAGCCAGCCAGGGCTTCCCCACCCAGCCTATAGGGGCAAATCCTGCTCCCCTTTCTTTGATGCAGAGGGCCTTCAATACAGTGGAATCAGTGTGATCCTGCTGCTTAGAGCCAGCAGCACGATATGGGGAACTGCATAAAGGGATCTGCACCCCAAGAGTATCATGGATTGGGGCTCCCTGCACCCCAGCGCGCAGGAGTTAGGGCGTAGGGGCAGGGATCTGGAACAGGTGAGCTCTCCTCCGGAGGCGACGTCATGCTGTCTGCATGTGCAACACCAGAACCAGAGAAATTAACAAAGCCCGTATAACAAAAGGCCACCCAGAACTCCAGTCTGACAGGTCTGACCCCAGTGGCCCAGAGAAGAGCTCTGGGTAAGCTCGAAAGTATGTCTTTCTCACCAGGCAGTTGGTCCCTTGAAAGATACGACCTCACCCCTCTTGAATCTCCAATATCCTGGGACCGACACCGCTGCAGACGGGTCTGACCCTACCTTCTCGTCCACCCCAGGGCCTGTTAGGACCGTGTGTAGCTACCCCAGCTACCCCAGAATGCCCTGCTATGGACAAGCTGCGGGCATAACTTTGTACTGATGGGCCACAGCAGGGCAGCGGGGCATGGGAGGGGTTGAAATCTAGATGCCAGGCGTTATGTAGGACAGATCAATTCAGTGAAGCTTTCCTGGCATGACAAGCTATGCCAGTGTTGCTGCAAGGTAAGAAAAAGTCAGCCACACAGGTCTCTGCCGGAGAGCGGGTTCGATCCACCCATGAGGCAGCTGTAGGCAGGGTTCGGAGTTATGCGCGCTCGGCTTGGTTCCCCTCGTCTGGAGTAATCGGCGACACCTAGTGGGTCCTCTGGTGCATTGCGATGGCTGTGGGGCTAGGGAGGCCCTGCCAGTTTCCCCATTTAAGGGTCAGATGTTTACTGACAGGAAGCATTCACGGGGCTTGGGTGACTCAGGCTTCCACCTCTAGCTCCAATCCTGCCCAGACACCAGCACCTGGGCATCGGGACCTGGTCAGCAGCTTGGGCACAGCAGGTTGGTGGGTGTTAGTCCAGTGCCAGGAGCCTGAGCTCCCCCCTCGGGTCAGGGTCGAGGTTGGCTGGCAGAGGGGTGTGTGTGGAAAGCTCGACCTGTCGCTACCCATGTCCCGGGGAGAAGCAGGGGGTTCAGTTCCCTGGGCGGTCAGGCTGGGCCCCAGGGGAGCCCGTGCCGAGGGAGGCGTCCGAATGCTTTACAATGCCCGAGATGCAGGAAAGGCTCAGGAGCTGAACCGCTGGAGGGCGAGGAGGGAGATCCTTGGGAATCAAAGCCCCAGGCAGCAGGACCTGCGGTGCATCCGCTCATTCTCAGGAGCCAATAGCCCAGCTGGGGCCAGGCTGCCAGTCCGAGCGCTGGAGACAAAGACCGGCCGCAGCTGCGGTGCTGACGGTAACACGAGCCCCAGGCCACGGACGCTGTTTCCTCTCTCCCAGCTCTCTCTCTGCCAGGCCACACGGGGATGGCCCTCAGCAGTGGGGTTACCAGAGACCCCACTGTGTCACCCCCAAATCCGTGACTCCCTAGGCTGGTGGGACGGTGATTCTACCTGGTGGTCCTGGTTCCACACCTGCCTCTCCCCCCGACCCTGCAGTCATTTCTCACCCCTTCTTTCTCTCCTTCGGCTCCCAGTGCTTCCCTTCTCCCTTTCCCCTCTCTCAGTTCCCATTCCCTCCCCTTGACTCTCTGCCATGATGCCTCCTTATGGCAAGGCTTGGATGCCCTTGTGCAGCCCCAAGACACGACAGGCTGAGGGAATTTTGAGGGCACGTCCACGTAGAACGTCTCTGATACAGGCACTGGCCTGTGTCTCCAGGCCCTCAGCAGAGGGGCTGCCCAGACAAGCTAGCGTTCAAATGAGGACCTGGGGATTTCCCCCAGGCTGCCCCCCCATGCTTGGGAGGAGCTCCCTGGAAACATCTGCAAAAGGAACTCCTTGTCCTCCTTTAAATCCCTCCCAGCTCTCCACTGCCATGATGCCTACGGATGACAGCTAAATCGCTGGTGTGCAGGGAGCCCTGCCTGTCACATTGGCCATTGTTTCCTGGGACTCCTTAGTTCACCTGTACCCCACCTGACGTCTCGTCTTACATTGTGAGCTCTCTGGGGCAGGGGCCGTCCCTTTGCTCTGTCTGCACAGAGCCTAGCACCATGGAGACCCAGTCCTAGGTGCTACGGTAATATACATAGGAATAATACTGTATGCTGGAGACATTACAGGGCCCCGGGCTCGGTTCCCTGCCATTGTGCGGGACAGGAAACTCCAGCACTTTGGCCCATGTTCCGGTTACAGTCCGTTGGTCTGAGCAGGGGTGGAACAATGAACAATCTCTGCTTATCAGCCCCGCCATCCCCAGAGGAACTCCTGCTCAGCCAGGCACTCCCTGGCCACTTCCTGGCCACTGCCCCTGACGTCGGCTTTACCTCCCCGCCCTGCTCTCCTTAAAGGCCCAGGCCTGGTTTTTAACCAAGAGCCTCTTACGGCTTAAACCCTGAGCAGGCCTGTTCTGGACGCCAGGGTGGCCAATGCTCGGTCTTTCGACGTGGGAAAACGGGGCTCAGGTCCCAGCTGTGCGAAGGACTCTTGGGAGGGGGCGGTGTCTCACGAGGGACCGTGTATTGCTCAGCAACTTTCCCCTCTGCTAATTAAGAGGCAGTGTGCACGGGGTGTGTGCGTTTGTTGTGTGCTGTGGGGGTTGGATGGCTCAGGGGACCAGGATGGGATGCAGAGACCTTCACCTCCAACTCCAGTCCAGCCTGAGGCTGGGGGACATGGGACTTAGGCTGGGGGCTCCGGGGGTCTTCCACCACTAGGTGGCTTGTTCCAATCCAGCACAGGCCAATCAGCAATAATGCCCCCCACCCCTCGCTGGTAGCCCCAGCAAAAGGCCAAGGAGAGCGACAGATGCTGTCATGGCTGGCGGGAGCCCACTTGCCAAAGCCCTGGCTGTACCTGGCCATGGATACACCCAGACCCCCGGGCTGCCTGCCAAGCACCTTCCACCTGCAGGAAATTCACCCTGAAAGCAGCCGTGGGGATGGGCTCCGAAGGGGACCATGAGCTGCCTTCCTGGTGTGCTTTCCCCACCCTGTCCTGCCCCATAAGAGAACCAGGCACCATGGCCCAGTGCTGCTCTCGTCCCCTCTGGGCCGGACCCAGCAGGCTGTGATACAAATCTGTGAAACCTGAGGCTCTCCCAGGAAATGTGGGGCCCAGGGCAGCTTGACCACAGCTTTTCAAGGCGAGGAGCTTTCCTGGGACGGGAAAGGAGAGCCAGCGGCAACACTGGAAGCCCTCTCAGCCACGAAGGCATGTCCCTTTCATTGCACTGCCTTCCTGTTTGCTAGGGCCAGGCCTGTCCCCTGGCAACGGCCCAGGGCCAAGAGCTTGATCACCTGAGCGGGGCGCCATGCCAGCAGCAGACTGGTCACCCACGGACACTGCTCTCAGCGTGGAGCAAAAGCCCTCCCAGCCCCGATGGACGCCTATGGCCTTGATGGCCCAGCTCAGCCGACAGAGCTAAGCCTGGCCCCTGGGATGCCAACTGCGTACCGGCCCCGCCTGGAAACATTTGTCTTCTGTGACTGTCCCAAACACGAGCTCTGTGCGGCTGGGACCTGGCAATGGCAGAGGTTGGCACTGCGGCTTTCCAAGCAGTTACCGCCAACAAACTTCAGCCTTAACTCGTATCCCCCCCATCTCCAATTTACTCCAGGGAGACCGCGTTTCACGGCAGCAGAAACGTTCCCCCCCATGAATCGCTCAGCCAGTGATAGAAAGCAGACCTTCTGAAGGAAGGCTTTAGGACGAACTGCAGGGAAGTGGACGGGAGAAAGGTGCTTGTTACTGAGGGTCTAGTCAGACCATCTGGGCAGCCCTCACCCGATCTTCTGTGATGCCGAGTGGCAGCTTTCACCGAGCCCCTGCACCTCGTTCTGGTTCCTCTCTGAGCACTGCCCATGAGAAGCCGGGAACTGCAACCCCCTGGCCAGGGGGAACGGGCACAGAGTGGCACATACACCCAGCAGGGTCGTGGATGGCAGCAGCTACAAGCAGCTCGCTGACACAGCAGGAAAGAGAGTCCAGCAGCAACGGGGTACCCAGCTCATGGCGATCAGCACCACTCCCGCTCTGTTCACGTTCCCTTCTGTCTCTGTAGGCCCTGTACGTGGCTGTATGCCACTGCTCCCCAGCACAGCCAGCCAGCATGGCCGGGGCAGGGGGAGTGGAGCCGGCTCACGGTATCTTCCCCCCTGCCTCTGAAGCACCAAGGGGAACTCCCACCCACTGTGTGCAACCGCAGAACTGGACCATTGCGCAGCGGCAAGGAAACGCCCCCGTTCCCCGTGGCTGGTCACAGCACGCTGTGCGGCTGCTCCTCTCTCGTGTCCCGGGGCCTGGGCTCTGAGCTGAGGAAAGCACTTTTGCACTTACTTTTCACTGCATCCCCTTCCACCCCACGCACCCCCCCCCATTGTTACAGGGGCTCTAGAGAATACATGGATCCTGGGTTTACACCCCCTACTCCTACCTGGGTATACATGAAAAATCATGAAGGCTGTCACCCGGTTAGAGTCAGATTTCACAGACTCTGGGCAAGATTTTCAACGGTGATTAGGCCAGGGGTTCAGAGCCGGCCTTAGGGAAAATGAAGCCCCTGGCTCCAGGGCTCCCTGCCCCGTCACCTCTGGCCCCTGCTGCTCCCCCCACACACTTTCTGCAGCCTCGAACCCCAGGCCTGCCCTATTTCTTGCCTCTTGACCACAGCACCCTGGGCAGTCGCCTACCCCTAAGGCTAGCCCTGCAGGGGTTCCCAAACTTTTTGCCAGCTCGAAACCCACTGTAATTCATTATTTCCTCCCGAGACCCTGCAGAGAGCATGGAGGGCGCCATTTTGTAGAGCAGAGTGGTCTCCGTGCACTGTGGTCTCACATGGACGGTGCGTCCGAGGTCCCAAAATGGCATCCTCCACACACGAGGGGCCACCGCCACCCCATCTGCTGGTTTCCCACTTTGGGAACTGCTGGACTTGGGCAGCCTAACTTGCAATTTCTTTTAAAGGGGCTAGTTTTTCAAAGGGGAGTGCTCAGCACTTCCTGAGAAATAGGCCCCTCTGAGGTGTTTCAGATGGGGCCCCCAAAATCACTAGCCACTTTTGAAAATCTTGGCTTCTGACAGCTACATTCTTGGAGCCCAAAAGACCTACATCCCTTTTCAGCAAGGATGCATTTTGCAGGTTGCCAGCACCTTCCACCCAAGGGTCTCAAGGCCCTTTACAAACATTCCCCTGTGAGGTAGGAAATTAACAGCCTTTCCACCTCACAGAGACTTGCTCCAAGTTACAAAATGAGTCAGCAGCAGAAGTGGGAATGGCGCTTAATTCTGACGGGGAGAGGTGCTGGGGCATAAGCAATTTTTTAATTTTCATAACTGATGGGGCAAGCCTGGAGGGGCCGGGGCTCTGAACTGCCAGGCCCGGAGGCTGCCGGGGCTCAGACCTGCCAGGCCGGGAGGGGCCGGGGCTCAGACCTGCCAGGCCCTGGCACAAATTAAACAGTGTTGATGATCAGGAACTATTTTTGTCCGTCTCTTCCCTCGCAGCAACAGGCGCCCCCAGTAGGGTGGCCAGTCAGCAAGTGTGAAAAGTGGGGGTGGGGGGTAATAGGCGCCTATATAAGGCAACGCCACGAACATAGGGACATCTGGTCACCCTTGCCCCCCCCGGGCTAGACTGGGGCACTGAAGTCGGGATTGACGCCGGGGGAAGAGCGCCCCCTATTGAGTCACCTGCCCCAACGCTGGGGCACCAAACTTGGGAGAACCCAGGCGGTGCTCGGCTGGGGAAGGGCGCACGGACTCCCGGCCCTGGTGGCCCAGCGGGGAGAGGGGTCTCCGCGCCGGGCAGCTGGAGGGACCAGGTGGCCCCTGCCCTCGCCGTCCCTTGTGAATGGAGCCCAGGGGACGCGCAGGCCCCCGTTCCCGGAAAGCCGGGCAGCAGGACGGGCACTGGGGAAACCCAGCCAAACAGACCCGTGTGCGGCGGGACCCAGCCAAGCCCGAGCGCACCCGCTCCCCGGCAGCCTGGCCTCGCTGCTCCGCCCGAGCCGGAGCGGGCCAGGGCCGGGTCAGTCGCTCCGCGCCCGGGGGGTGCGTGGGAATGCGCCCGCGGAGCCCAAGGGGGCGCGGAGTGGACGGGCAGCCGGGGCGGGGGATTTGGGGCGGGGGGCGCCCGGGGCTGGAGGGAGGCGGACCCCGCTGCCGCCAGCTGGAAGTTGACCCCGGTCCCGGGACAGCGCCGCCGGGCAACTCTCACTCACCTCCCGCGGGGGGTCCCATCCTCCCGCGGGGGCTCTCCGGGGAGCCGAGCGGCGGGGCCCCGTCTCAGGTGTCCATGCCGGGCTGCGCTCCGCGCTCTCTCGGGCCGGCCCTCCCGGGGTGTGGCCCGCCCGGCGCCCAGCAGCGGCTCCGCCTCGGCTTGGGCCGCCTGCGGAGCAGAGGCAAGTCGCTCCCCGCCCTCCGGGATTTCCCATTTCCCCGCCGCCCGGTCCCCTGCCCCAGAGCTAGCCCCCTTCTCTCCAGCCTCCCACCTCCAGCCCCCTTCTCCGCAGTCCCCTTCTCTCCAGCCCCCCAGTATCCCGCCCCCACCCCCTTCTCCTTCCCAGTTCCCTGCTATCCAGCCCCCTTCTTCTCCCTAACCCTTCTCCCATCCAGCCACCCCATATCCACCCCCTCATTCCCCAGCACCCCCTTTTCAGCCACCCCCCAGTATGCAGTCTTCCTCTGGTTCCCCAGCCCCTCCATATCCAGCCCCCTCCCTTCTCCCCAGTCCCCCCCTTTTTCAGTGTCCCCCCCCATATCCTGCACTCTTCTTTCTTCCCAGCCCCCAGCATTCTCCTCTTCCAGCTCCCAACCTCCAGCCCCCGGAATTCCTCAACTCCAGCCTCTCCCCCTCCAGCCCCCAGGCCCCTGGCTGAGGTTCCCCATCCCCTGTGGGTGGTGGGAAGCAGCTGCCTGTGTGTCTCTGTGTGTCTATTTCACCATCAGTGGAAACCCACCCAGAGCCGGGGGACACCAGCCCAGGCAAGGTGCACAACCCCGTGACTGAGAGTGTGTGTAAACTACGGAGCCCTGGGGCCCTGCTGCCATCCCTGTGTACACCGGTGTTCCTGTGCAAAGGGCCGTAGCTAGGAACGATCGGGATGGAATTGACAGGGGAACGCTTATGCTGGGGCTTTTGGGTGTGCAATAGTGGCCGTGGGGGAGGGCCTGGCTGGGACCCCATCACTTGGGATAGACCAACTGGACAAAGCACTTGGAATTGCGCTGTAGGGCCAGGAGGAGGTCTGAGAGGGTTTATCCATCTCTAGTTCCCTCCATTCCTGATTCTAGGAAATGCAGGGGGATGGGATCTGACTGGCTGCTGACCCAAGGTGTGTCCTCCTCTCTGTGGCCTTTATCCTGCAAACACCCACTTGCTTACCTTGATGCACACGAGTATTTCTGTTGAGTTCAGTGGGACTCAGATCTCGGTGGTTAGGTGCTGAGCGACTAGTTAGGCATCTAAATGCTTTTGAGGATCTGGGCCTAACTCCTGTGCGTAAAGTTAAAAGTGAATGTAAACGCTTGCAGGATTGGGGCCAAATAGATCAAAGATTCTCCCCTCCCATTGTGTCTATTGTGAATTTTCTTTTCCCCAGTACAAGCAAAAGCCCAGGGGCACTTGGAACTGGAGAGGGAAAAGAGCCCCAGGCTGAGGAAACAAAGCTAAACAAAAAGGAAAATTATTAATACATAATACTAAGGCTTGGTAACTAACATCTTTGAAACACCAACCATGCTAAGGGATAAATCCTTGCTCCAGCTCTGCAGGGTGGGGAAATCATAAAATGTTGATTCCCACCATGACTCTCGGAGGCAGATCAAAATGGCTGTTCAGCTAGGTAAACTGAGGCTCAGGTAGAGGCAGGATGCCCCAGCGCCCTGAACCTTTCAACCATCCTTTAAACCTGTGCAAACCTTGTGCATCAAACCAGTAGCGTTTGACACCCACTTTGCACATATGTAAGTGACTACGCAAGACTGGAGAGAATCAGCCCACAGTTGACTAGCAGGGGAGTGTGTGTGTGTGATGGATAATACCGGTGTGGGTCTGACTGTACTCACAGGCCTTGTCTGTACTTAAAAACACTGCTGCTGTCCCTACACCTTCAAAATCCTGCTGGTGTAGACACAGTTATACCAGCAAAAAGGAGCTTTTGTCGGCACAGCTCATGCCAGTTTGAAATCGGACAGAAGCAGGTTTTTGCCAGTATAACTGCATCTACAACAGGGCTTTTGCCGGCCCAGCTACATCATCAAAACAATCGTAACCCAACCAGCATTGCATGCTGGCAAAACGTTTAAGTGTAGACTGGCCTAGCATGAGATCTGTGTCTGAGCATGCTCAGTGCAAACTAAATGTTTCCAGAAGCCTGGGGAGGTTTGGTGTGAGCTGAGTGCTCCTATGGCTAATAATAAATGTATTTGGCCTTTTCTCCAGCCACTCTGCCTCCTAAGCACCTATTAAGCATTCCAGAGATCACAGTACATGCCTGGAATAAACGGTGCCCTGATACATGCTAAGAGGTTGTTATGGCTCATCATTTAAGACACAAGTAGGTAGGGGCCAATAGTTTAAAGGGTTTATTGATTTGCTTTTATCAGCTGACATAGGTGAGGTACCCCTGCAAGCTGTGATAGTAGTTAGGGCTTACACTGTTTTATTCGTCTTTTGAGCTTTCTACAATTAAAGGAATGGAACCAATTTTAAAAGGTGCAGTACCTGGAAATTTTGTTCTGTGTGTGCAGCACCTAACGCAGTGGGGCCCTGGTCCATGGCTCCCCCCTTACTCCTGTTACAAGTGACAGCTAAGCTCACTCTACCTGAAAGAGGTTAGAGGGGAGGAAAGACTTTCTCAGTTTTCCAGAGTGTTAGCTTTGTGCATTGGTCTAGTCAGTTTCACGGTTTCCTTTGCAGAGGCAGGTGGTTTGTCAGTTTCCGTGTCTTGTCTGTATGGTTCTTTCTCACAGCAGCCAGAGAGAGAAAAACACGTTTTAAAAACAGGAAAATGTGGTTGTCAAGCCGCAGAAATAGGCAGGGAGACCCTGGGGCAGCTGATGGTCTTGGAACGGCTTTTAACTCATGTTTGAAAAGTGACTAGATTTCATCGCTGTAAGAAGTCCACTGGAGTGGACCCCGCCTGCCTTTCCAGTGTTACTTCTCTTCCCGTTGCCTGACTGACCCTATGAGTGTGTCCGCGGCACGTCCCCAAGAGACACTGCCCACACATCCGGATCTGTCACCTCCTGAGCTCAGGTGGGTCACCAGCAAGAGCTGATGGTAGCAGATGAGCAACGGCCTTATGAGCAGGCAGCTGGGCTCCGTCTGCAGCAGGCAGCAAACAAAACAAACTCCCTAGCAACACAAGGCCGCGCGTTCTCCTGGCTGGGGATTTCAGACACGAAGCAGAGCGGGTGAAACAGAAACAGACAGTTCCCTTTTGGGTGTGATGCAGGGAACGAGTGTTTGAAGGTTACAGGAAGTGAGGGTGTAGAGAGGAAGGATGGTGCATTGGGTAGGGTGCTAGCCTGGGAAACCGGGTTTCAAGTCCCTGCTCTGCTACAGTCTCCCTGTGTGACCAGGGCATGTCCCTTTGTCTCCGTTCTCCATCTGTACAATGGGGTCATAGCCCTGCCTTCCCTCCCAGGGCTGTTGCGAGGATAAGAACAGTAGATTGTGAGGTCTCAGATACTCTGGAGAAAGGGACCAGACAAGGACTGCCGATGGATGGCTTTTGCTATGCAATACTCAGTGCTGGAAGCAGAGAGGCCTTCCTCACAGTCCTGCAAATGTGGTCTAGTGGTGAGAGTCTCACTGGGACTCCAGACCCTGGGTATTCCTAGAGTTTAAGGCCAGAAGGGACCATTCGGATCATCCCGTCTGACCTCCTTGCCAGCAGAGAGCTTAGAGCCTCTCCTAGCGATCCCTGCATCGAGTGCATGACATGTGGTTGAGCTATCATGGATCTTTTAGAATGATATCCGGGCCTGATTTAAAGAATTAAAATGACGGAGAATCCTCCCCATCCCTAGGTCAGCTGTTTGATGGCTAATTACCATCACTTAGAAATCAGGCCTTATTTCAAGTCTGAATTTGTCTAGCTTCAGCCTCCAGCCACTGGATCTCGTTCTGTCTTTTCCTGCTAGGTTAAAGAGCCCTTGGCTGACTCAGAAATCTCCTCCCCTCTGAGGTACTTGTAGGCCATGAGCAAGTCCCCTCTTAATTTTTTTTGGATAAACTCAATAGATTGACTTTCTTCAGACCCTCATTGGAAGGCAGGTTTTCCAGACCTCAGATCATTCTTGTAGCTCTTTCCTGAACCCTTTCCAATTGGTTACCATCCTTTCTGAAGTGTGGACACCAGAGCTGGATGCAGCAGCCAGTAATGGCCTCTCTGATTCTGTATCCAGAGGTGATGCCCACCCTTCTACTCTACCTGATCAGCCATTCCCAGCTCTGTCACTGGGTGACCCAGGAGAAATCACACCCCAGCTTTGAAATGGGGATAGTGATCCAGCCCCAACTTTGCAAGGGATGCTGAGCTCCGGGAATGAGAAGCACTGCATGAATCAGGGTACCACCCTCCTTCTATAGTCTGCCTTCCCACCCAGAGGGGTTTCCGGTCTGCTTTCCCAAGAGCTGTGCACTGGGTCAGGGGCACTCCCTCCTGAAAACCTCAGCCTTGGTCTGTAATGCCCCGTGTCCTCCCCAGGAAATCAGGTGGCTGGCGGGGGACTCAGCGGCTGAAACCACATCCTGTCTCCCTGGTCGATGGCCCCTGACCACCATTCTGGTGCGGGATCCCGGACATGCCTTACCCACTCCCTTGCTCTCATGGACACTTTACCTTTCTTGTTTTCTTGATCTCCCCTGACTCTAAAATAAAAGCTGGTCCCTGCCTTCTTTCAACCTGTGACCTGGGATATTTAACTGCCCCCTGCATGGGCCCTGCTAGAAGCTGACGGGGGGAGCTGGATCTAATGGCTCATCTCTCTCTGTCTTGCTCCTCCTTTCTCCCTCCCCCTTGTTTCTGTTGCTGGCTTTGCTCCAGTCCAATGGTCTGGTGATGCTTGTGGCTCAGTCGAGGCCCCCCCTTCCCCATCTGTTAAGTCCCAGCTCTCCAGCCACAAGCTGATTGTAACACGGTGCTGCCCTAGCGCCCCGGGGGGCCGATGAACTGCAAGGGCCCTGCATGGGTTGGGGTGGACCGTGTCCAGCAGAGGGAGCCAATGGTCACTGACCCTGGGGCCAATGCACTGATGTGTGGAAACAAACTGGTGAAGCAAGAGCAACGGTGGGTTATGAAATGGGGGACAT